TGAAGGCTTAAGAAAATTTTAGTTCTTGTTAATGTTATTTATACCTATTTTCAGTTGCTTCTTGTAATTATTTAAAATTGTGAGTAAGGTTTATTTGTAGTATGATGTAAATGTGTAAAAGTTATAGAATTATGAATATTACCGTTACAATCATATTTCTCGTTATTTTAATATTTTGATTGTTAATATAAACATTTTACAACCACTGCTTTCGTTGTTGAAAAGAAATGCAACTAAATTTTAGTTGCTTCAATGATATTTTATTGACAAAAAAAAATTAATACAGCGACAAATCAAATAGTTTTTAAACAAAATTAATTGGTTGTATGTAATAATTTTTAACGACTATTTCTTTCATTGTTGAAATGAAATACAACTAAAATTTGGTTAATTTTATTGTATTTTAACGACAAAAATAGTTATTAAAAAAACCAAACAATTGGTTGTTGAAAAAAGAATTGGTTGTCAATAAAAACTTTTGACGACCAATTATTTAGTTGCTAAAATAATACATTAACCGACCAAATGTATTTTCAGTCGTTGAATACAATCATTAGCACATCTTTGCCAACCAATGAACGACCAACTGATTTTGGTCGNTTTTACAACCACTGCTTTCGTTGTTGAAAAGAAATGCAACTAAATTTTAGTTGCTTCAATGATATTTTATTGACAAAAAAAAAATTAATACAGCGACAAATCAAATAGTTTTTAAACAAAATTAATTGGTTGTATGTAATAATTTTTAACGACTATTTCTTTCATTGTTGAAATGAAATACAACTAAAATTTGGTTACTTTTATTGTATTTTAACGACAAAAATAGTTATTAAAAAAACCAAACAATTGGTTGTTGAAAAAAGAATTGGTTGTCAATAAAAACTTTTGACGACCAATTATTTAGTTGCTAAAATAATACATTTACCGACCAAATGTATTTTCAGTCGTTGAATACAATCATTAGCACATCTTTGCCAACCAATGAACGACCAACTGATTTTGGTCGTTGAATGTGATCAACAACCAAAAATAGACATTCTATGACCATTTGTATAGTTGTTAAAGGTAATTTTTCCTGTAGGTATTTCTTGTTAATGCTAGTGATCTGAAATCTCAATCTTTAATAAATATTAATTGAGATATCCATAAATGATTTAACACTATTGCATGTTAAACGCCTTCAATCAATTTAATTGAGAACAAAATACTTCTCATTTCTATTTAAGAAATGTTATTACAGATCACGCTAACATCAAGTTCTCACAATTATAATTGGCTTATGCCTTATGGTCAAGCCTAATCTCTTATATCTAATTTTTTCATTGTGCAATTAATCCATCACATTGCACTGAGATGAAAAGTATAGAATTCTAATCCCAAATATGTCATATTTTATGATGCAGTAAAAATGATTATCAATTTGATTGGACAATTCTCTTGTATTAGGGTAAGGAAATTATTGAAGTATATTGATTGAAGAAATGAGATGAAAGATAATGCACCAATTCGTATTATGAGTAGCGAGGTTATTGAAACAAATTATTTGTGCTCTTTTTTCATTTGTTGCGTTTTTTTCTAAAATGATTTTTGTCAAATAATGTTTCAATGGAATAGTTATTGTGTAAATAATCATTCAAGGAGAAGTGTTTGAAAATATAATAGTATTTATGAATGACTTTTATATTCCTACAGCCCTATTCATTATTACTGTTGTATCCCATATGGCCCTAATTCTTTCTTATAAATATGGAGGTTTGATTCTTAATAAAATATACAAATTTATTGATTTCTTTGTCTTGTTCTCTAGTTTATAACAAAATTTATTGTTTTATCCCCCAAAAAAAAAAAATAATAATAATAATAAATATTTGTTGACTTTTAAATGAACATCAGTCTTCACTGACTAGAAAAGCAACCTCTCGCATGGAAATTAAAAATTATTTTGACAGTTTTACAATTGTTATGACGGCCACAAATTTTTTTAACTTCAATTATGATTTTTGTTTATGGTAATCTGTCGATTATCAATAAGATAATGATTTTTATTATGGTATTCGGAGATTTTCCAGATATTCGAATTTAATTGTATTATATATGACCATATGGATGACTTGTAAAATGAGTCTAGGTATCCACCTTTGTATGGATGTCTTTGCTAGAAGAAAAAATGGTAAATGCTCTAAAGTATGTCTATGTACATTGCATAATTAATAGGGAAAATTGCTGCTGAGGTACCAAATCTTTATTTTATTAGCAGACTTTGCCCAAATCTTTAGTTTGTGCCATCGGAGGTACCAAACCTTCAAAAAATTCGCACCCGGAGTCCAAATTGACAAAAACTGTTAGTTTGACCATCAAAACCGTTAGTTGACCCCAAAATTGACATTGATCGAAATTTTGACTGATTTTTAAAGGGTCAAATATGTAACTTTATATTTTTCATATAAAAAATTAAAATAAAAGAAATATACTTCATCTTCTCCACTTCACCCTACAAACACCCACCCCAAAACCAAAAACCAGGAACCACTCACTTCTCTACCTGCCAGCCGATCGCCCAACGCCACCCCTTCAATGCCAGTCGACCGCCCAACGCCATACACATTGCCGCTCCGCCTTGCGCAGCCTTGTTATTTTCGCCCATCACCTTAAACAATGGCTTGACAAACAGCGATGCTACCCCATTACTCCCTCCTCCATGCTTCAAGTACAGTGCAGACAGCGAGCCAACTGTATTGCAACATGCCTCCCTAACTTGGGAATCTTAATCCTTCAGCCTCTTAACAATGTGAGCAATGATTTTGGTCAAATGGGTCGCAGCAGAATCAGTGCGAGCAGTGCAGAGTACAACAAGGAGTCGAATGCTCTCTTTCTTCACTGCAGGCTTTGGGTCATTCATGGCATCGTATAGGCAATTGAGTAGCATTGAAACCCCATCATTGGACAGGGCTTGAATAATCTTCTCGAGGTCCTCCACAGCGATCTGGTGGGTATCCCGGTTTGCCAATTTCGAAAGCGCAGTAAGGATTCTCTGCTTTAATTCAATCATTGCCAAATGGGACGATAAAGAAGATGAAGATGAAGCAGAAGAAGATCTCGGAAGGCCCAACTGGTTGGAAGGATTTGAGGGTTTTGAAGATCTTTGGGAGCTCATTTTTAATGAAATTTTGGTCAAAAGCCTCGAAACAAATTCGATGGGAGATTTTTCTGCTTCTCCTCAATGATTGTAACTGCGTACTAACTAAATCCAGTTTTCTCCTTCGGCGTAACAATCGCATCTTCAATCATCTGAAATACAAATTTCAGCCAAAAATAAAGGGAAAAAAATCAGATCTAAAATTCATAAAAATGAAAATTCCAAATTCATAAAATTGGATTTGGCTCTAAGATTGAAGAAGAAGGGAAGGGTGGCGCAAATTCTTGTAATGATTGGAGGTTGAGACGGTGGTGCTAGCTGTGGCAGTGGACGGTGACAATGGTGATTTTTGGGGCTCTAGGATTGGGGAAGAAGGGAAGGGTGGTGGGTGGTTTTATATTTTGATTTTTGTTTTTTTAATTTAATTATTAATATATATTATAATTGTCTTTTTTGTTAAAAAATGTAAAATTACAATTTTAACCTTTAAAAATCAGTCAAAATTTTGGTCAATGTCAATTTTGAGGTCAACTAACAGTTTTGATTGTCAAACTAACAGTTTCTGTCAATTTGGACTCCGGGTGCGAATTTTTTGAAGGTTTGGTACCTCCAGTGACACAAACTAAAGGTTTGGGTAAAATCTGCTAATAAACAAAAGGTTTGGTATCTTAACTGCAATTTTCCTAATTAAAGTACTCAAGACAACTCTAGACTGGTCTTTTAAATTGAATCGTGCTATGTGTATGGACAATTTTGCTAGATTAGTTTATAGAGGGACATTTGGCATTATTCCATTGGATGTTGGCAAAATAATAATAATAATTCCAGCCACAGAGGTGCAGCGCAGCACGCTTTTTAATTTGTTAGTGATAACCTATAGGTTAATTTTCTTTGTTCTATTTGGAATTTAGATTTTATGCACTTCTACTTAATCAAATAACAAAATTCACTGTTGGAACCGCATTCACTAAATCAATAAAATATCTTGTGATACTAATTGCATACCTAATTCAATGTTTGATTGTGTATCTGGTGTCCTGTAGAGCATCAACTGGGATTCATATTATGGAGAAATCAGCAAATAAGCCAAGCTCTATAAAACTGCAATGGTTGAAGAATTCAAATTAAGTTGCTTATGCAATTGGCTGACACCATCAAACTTAAAATATCCAATTAAACAGAAACCGTGTGTTGAATATTTCTCAAGTTAGTGATATTGTAATCAAATAATCAGTAGGTTTCTAATGTTACTTCGTTTATTTTTAGTCAAAACTTCAGGATGACTTGTGTGATCGAAGGGGGTAATACGTCTCGTAGTATTATGAAGTATTATGCCTTTTAGCTTAAAAATGTGTAAAATAATTGAGGTAAAAGAAACAAAAGTTTGTTTTAGGAATAAGGATATTATAAAAAATAAGAAGAAAATCAATTTGTTTTAATGATTTAATCAATATTATTTTTCTTGGTCAGCTAATACTTGTTTCTCTGATTGACCAAAAATAAAATAACTATAATCAGCACTAGAACCTGTACGAGGAGAGACCGACCCCTCATTAAATGAATTCTTTGATTCAATCATCAACAAATTATATTTACATAGTCAAATTTTGGTACAAATTTAATAATAAATTTAAGGTATGTTGCGTGTCCCCGTAGAGCATCATCCAGGTATATACACAATAAATTAACAGAAAGTAATCAAATCTATATATAGTCAACTACAGTTTGTTCAAACTAATAATTATCCAGCCACTGACCCAGTAATTAAATGAGAAACATATAATTTTATTTGCTCCTTTCAATTTTCAAACGCTATATAAAGCACATGCAATGTGCCATTAATATTATCAAGAAATATATCATCTCTTGTATTTCCTATTACATCTCTCTCTTTTGCATACTAACTTTTGTTGTATTATGGATCCGTATGTCGCCCAAAAATCTCCTCCACCTAATGCACCGTCAGGATACGGCCAACCACCGCCGACTGGAGTACCAGTTTCAGCTCCTAATTATAATTCCCAACCACCACCACCACTGCCCCATGCTCATGTTGGCGCTCCAGGGGAGTGGTCTACCGGTTTATGCGACTGCTTTTCCGATGTTTCAAATTGTGAGTTGATATCTAATTTTGAAAACTCTCTCTCTTTTGCTACTTTTGTTCACTTAGTCAAATTTTGGTACAAATTTAATACTAAATTTAAGGTATGTTGCGTGTCCCCGTAGAGCATCATCCAGGTATATACACAATAAATTAACAGAAAGTAATCAAATCTATATATAGTCAACTACAGTTTGTTCAAACTAATAATTATAAAGCCACTGACCCAGTAATTAAATGAGAATCATATAATTTTATTTGCTCCTTTCAATTTTCAAACGCTATATAAAGCACATGCAATGTGCCATTAATATTATCAAGAAATATATCATCTCTTGTATTTCCTATTACATCTCTCTTTTGCATACTAACTTTTGTTGTATTATGGATCCGTATGTCGCCCAAAAATCTCCTCCACCTAATGCACCGTCAGGATACGGCCAACCACCACCGACAGGAGTACCAGTTTCAGCTCCTAATTATAATTCCCAACCACCACCACCACTGCCCCATGCTCATGTTGGCGCTCCAGGGGAGTGGTCTACCGGTTTGTGCGACTGCTTTTCCGATGTTTCAAATTGTGAGTTGATATCTAATTTTGAAAACTCTCTCTCTTTTGCTACTTTTGTTCACTTATATTATATCTAGTGTACTATACATACATATTTGATATTTCTCTAATACATTTAACACTTTCAGGTTGTATAACATGTTGGTGTCCTTGCATAACATTTGGTCAGATTGCTGAAATCATAGATAGAGGATCTACTTGTAAGTGAAGAGATATATTTTTCATTTCATGAGAGGATCCTATAACTGTTCAGTTTTTTTATTTATAGGACCAAAAATCTATACATCATTCCATTTATAATTTTCGATCAAAGATATAATTGTTTATGAGTTTGGCGTGGCAGCTTGTGGAGCAAGTGGAGCACTTTACGCTCTTGTAGCCTTTGTTACGGGATGTACATGCATATACTCTTGCTTCTATCGTTCTAGGATGAGAAGACAGTATATGCTGCCAGAGGATCCGTGTACGGATTGTTTGGTTCATTTTTTTTGCGAAGGTTGTGCATTGTGCCAAGAGTATCGTGAGCTCAAAACCCGTGGGTTTGATATGTCTCTTGGTAATAATCTTTCATTCTCCGCTTAGAATTTGTGTAACAACATCGTAGTTTTGCATATACGGGTGTAATAAAATTAATCAATTTTAATTTGTTGTAAGAAAATTTCACTTTTTAGATTACGAGAAACAAATAAAGAAAATTTTTAAAGGTCTTTTGAGTTCTCTCTACTCCAAAATTGTCGTAGTTGTTGCAAAGCATATTTTTCATTTCCTCTTACACCCTCGATCCTTTTCGAAACATTTCTCTAAAATATCTAGAAATGGATGTCTTATTAATTTATGTAACTGAGGTTTTGGTGGTTGATGTGAAAAATGTTAGGATGGCATGGAAATGTGGAGAAACAGAATCCTGAAATGACAATGGCACCAGCCGTTCAAGGCGGAATGAGTAGATAATGCTGCTGTGGCCAAATGCATCAGATCCAATTGCTTGAGCCGAGGGATGTGAATTACATTATGTTTATTGTTGTTTCAAGTCTAAGTGATGAATTTAGCATGGTTTGTAGGCTTGATCTCCAGTCCATGGTAAGCAAGAATTATAATGACTACTGTGGGCATGGCAACACGTGTTGCCATGTCATACCCTCACTCATGACATAGCAATACAACATGTTGTAATTACGTTTGCAGTGAACATTATAACTCTTGGCTACTGTAGATAGGAGATTAGGTCTATATAGTCAAATTTATCTATCTACTCTAAAATATAATAAATATTTCTATTTGTAATTTTAGTTTCGATCTTTTGCACCGATGAATTATATTTATATATTTGGAAATTGGAGCAAATAATTCCAAACCTTTGCCCACCTTGCGTTTTTTGTCCGAATCTTTGAAAATAGTACAAATGATCCCAACCCTCTGCAATATTGTCGTAAATGGTCCTTTTGGATGGATTCCTTACAAAAGAGTCCATCGTTTTGTAAGTGGAATGCACTATATTTCAAAGAAAATTGTTTATCTAGTCCCAACTTTTGCAAAAATACAATCGTGTCCCTAAATAATTTTTTTATTAGGATTTTTGTCCCTAATCTTTAAGAAATGAAAAAAATTAGTCTTCTTACCAATGTAATTGACAAATGATGCAATCATTAAATAATTCAGTTTAAAAAAACAAAATAATTAAAAAAGAAAAAACTTATCATCTTCTTCACACTCCCATGACGACTACCTCCACCAGACCATTACCACACCATCGCCATCTCTACATTTTCGCCATCCATACCATCACCATCACCCTAATCAAGTGGAGTTTCTCCCCTTGGTTCGTAGACAAACTGGGGAGAACCCCACCCCACGCCCCTTTACCCGCAGTTTTGCAGTAACAAGGGAGAGATTTCTCCCTTATGTTACTGTGAATTTAGGAGGAAAGTATCTTTGTCCCAGTACATATGTAGGGAGAAATCCCCTTTGTATTTGCTAAATCAAGAAGTCATTTCTCTTCCCTAGTTCATCGGGGCTGGTGAACTAGGGAGGAGAAAACCCTCTAGATTTTGGGGTAACAGTAGGGAGATTTTCTCCTAAGATTCGTTGTCCATTCGCTACAACGATGGGCACCGCCTGAAACTGCCGACCTATCCATCCCAAATGCTGGCCACCTTCACCGGTCTTCAAGAGTAAAAAATTCTAGTTTCAAGCCAATGCAAGATTCTTAGATCGACTACTAAAATTTTATTCAAATGTTCGGATCATAACACACTTATTCATTAACAAATAGATGTGATATTTCATCGATACTTAACATAAGCCTAGTGCTTAATAGATATATATAAAGAACCAGACCATTCCTTTTGTTAAGAAATGGGCTGCCTCATATTCTTGCGCCATAAGTTTGGGCCTATGTTGCTTAGTGTGAAAAATGGTTGAACCCGGATGAAGAAAACATTATTTCCGTTAAACGCGCCTCTTCCTTTAATTGTAGCTTGATCATGGCTGTACACTTGGCAATCTCCTGACCGTTGATCTGTGGCTCTTTGACTGATCGTTTAAAGCATTGTTTGGTCACACACTTGTACGATGATTGAACTCTATGTGTTAGGGTTTTCTCTTCTTCTCTCTCTAATCACATCGTATATTCTTTGTGAATTTTTGACCTGTAAATCTGAGTGATTCTGAAATTCTACACTTGATATATATTGTGAGAAAGGTTCTTAGTGATTTGGTGTGGTTTTTGTAATGAGTTGAGGCTAGAGAAATATCAAAGAAATCTCTAATTTCTTTGTACATACTGTAACTTTCTTGGTGATTTCTTAGTGGATCTATAGCTCTATCCACTTGTGGATGCTCAACATGTGAGTAGGTTTGAGACCGAACATCTAGGCCCTTTGTGGCAAAAAATTCTTCGTGTTCTTGTTTTACATTTCTGCTATTTTCTTTGTGTTATTTCTGAAAATACAATTTGAAATAAGATCCTGATACCAACAATTGGTATTAGAGCCTTCTTCTTTTAATTCATTGTATTAGGGTTGGTGTTCTTTAAACAAAACACGTGTATTTGTTTTTCGAAAACTGCAGATCTGATATTGAAAAGGTTCTTTGAAATAAGAAAATTAGTTTTTCTTGAAAGGTTTTCACTGATTAGTCTTTGATCCAACTTTCTGGTTGGATCTCTTCAAGTATTGAAATACCTTTTGTGTAGATTTGTGAAATCTACAGTAAATAGTCGATAATGTGTTCTATTCAAACTTTTTTTGGAAAATCACTATAACTCGCTCTTGACTCATAACGATTTGTTGTTTTTGGTGAGCTGTGGTGATTTTCGGGTTGACTCATTACTGAGTTCTGCTATTTCTTATAACTCGTATTGAGTTCCTGGTGAGTTGGGTCGACTCAGTCTGATTCCTACGGAGTTCATGCTGAGTCATTATGACTCGTTGATTCCCTGCATGAAAATTGAAATTCTTGGTTCATTTCTGGTATACTCTGAACTCTCTCCTTACTGTTAATTACTTGTGTTAATTTTTTGGAAGCTAGTTATTAAGGTAAGTTGCCCTCCAGTACTTTCCTTTGTCGAAGATCTCATACGAGGATCTGGGAATCTGAGGGAGTATTGGAATTAAGGGTTACCACCCCTTAAACCGTTTCAAAACTGAAAACTGCATTGATACTTTAACTTTTGTGATTCTGTTACTACATTTGTCAAAATGTCTACTACATATAAACTTGAAATTGAAATTTGGAATGGCACTGAAGACTTTAGTCTCTGGCACCAGAAAATGAGGGCTCTGTTGTTACAACAGAGATGTGCTGCTGCACTTGATGGTAATTGGCCTGCTGAAACTAGTGCCTATAGGAGAAGAGAGTTAGATGATATTGCCTAGAGTTCTATTTTCCTTCATCTTTCTGACAGTGTAATTAGGAAAGTAGGTGAAACAACTTCTGCTGAGGCCTTATGGACTAAATTAGAAACCCTTTACTTAATTAAATCCACACCTAACAAATGTTATTTGTTGAGGCAGTTTTATAATTTTAGATTTGATTCTTCCTCTGGATTGGAAGAGAACATTGATAGATTCATAAAACTAGTTCAGGATTTAGAGAACTGTGATGAAGAATTATCTGAAGACCAACAAGTTGTTGCCTTACTAAACTCTCTAAGTGATAGCTATAGGAAAATTAGAAATGCCATGGAGTATGGAGGGCAAGAACTCACAGTTGTCATAGTAATCTCTGCCCTAAGAAATAGGGAAATTGAACTTAAAACTGATTCAAAAGATTCTAAGTACAGTGAAGGGTTACACATAAAGGAAAAACTAATCCAAAATAAGAAAAATAATCAGTGTAACTTTAATTCTCACAAGAAAGGAAAATATCAGAACCCTAAGTTCAAAGATAAAAATAAGAACCAAGTAAAATATAAAAACCAAGTCAGAAAGTGTTACTAATGTGGGAAAACAGGACACTTGATAAAAGATTGTTTTAAGAAAATTTTTGATTTGAAGAACACACAAAATGCTAATAGTTCTGCATCTGTTATCTGCAAGAATGATCCTGATGTTCAAGGAGTTGTTTTTGTTAATACCTCCAATAGAAACCCAAAAGAATGGGTGCTAGATTCTGGATGCACTTTCCATATGTGCCCCATTAAAGATTGGTTTACTGAACTTGATAACCTCAGTAGAGGACAAGTTCAAATGGGAAATGACATGAGTTGTCAGATAAGGAGAATTGGAAAATTGAATCTTCTGCTAAACAACAACTATATCCTTGAACTTGATAAAGTCAGATATGTACTTGAACTAAGAAGAAACTTGATTTCTTTAAGAGAATTGGATGAGAAATATGACATAAGGATTCATAAAAATCTTATAAGATTGATCCTTAATAATAAAGATGTCATATCATCTCCTAAAATAATTGGCATCTATACTCTTCATGCTAAACCTTTAGTAGGTCATGCCTCTCCAGCTATAAATTCATTTTTTGATAAGTCATTAATGGGGCATAAAAGACTTGGTCACATGTCTGAAAAGGGACTGACAATTTTAAATAAAATGGGATGTTTTGGAAAAGATAATATTGAAAAGCTAAGTTTTTGTGAAGATTGTATAATTGGAAAGCAAAACAAATTACCTTTTAAATCTGGAACCCACAAATCTAATGTCATTTTAGAATATTTACATGCTGACCTTTGGAGTCCAGCATTAGTAAATACTCTAAGCGAATTCAGATTTTATCTGCTAATTGTAGATGATTTTTCAAGAAAAATTTGGACTTTTCTTTTAAGGCACAAATCTGATACTTTTCAAAATTTCAAACAATGGAAATTAATTATTGAAAATCAAACTAATAAGAAATCAAAGCACTTAGGACTGATAATGGCCTTGAATTCTGTAATTTGGAATTTGATTCCTTTTGTAAGGAATCTGAAATTCTAAGGCATAGAACTGTAACATACACCCCTCAACAGAATGGAGTTGCTGAAAGGATGAATAGAACCTTATTAGAAAAGGTCACGTGTATATTACACAGTTCTGGACTTCCAAAGTTTTTTTGGGGAGAGGCCCTGAAAACTGCAACATATCTTATAAATAGAAGTCCTTCAAGTGTCATTGATTTTCAAGTCCCAGAAAAATTGTGGTCAGACTCTATACCTATTTATAATGGGCTTCAAGTTTTTGGCTGCACTGCTTACTCCCATCAAAATGAAAGTAAACTTGAACCAAGATCCTTAAAGTGTGTCTTCTTGGGGTACGGGGAGGAAAAAAAAGGGTATAGACTTTGGGTCAAATGTCAAAAAGGTTATAGGGTTATTATCAGTAGAAATGTCATCTTCAATGAAAATGAATTACCCTGCAAGAAATCATCATCTCAAATAGAATCTGCTGAACCTATACCTACGAAAGAAGCTATTCTTGAGAATCGGATAGTTGAATCAAATGATCAGAATGACTTAATTGAGGTGGAGATCACCCAATCAGATATTAATCAGGATCTGAGTGAACATGAAGTTGAAACTGAATCAATAGATCAATCCCTAGCTGATTACCAATTAACTAGAGATAAAGATAGGAGAAATAGATTTCCATCTTCTAGGATCAGAGATGATGAATTTGTTACATTTTTTTCAGTTCTTAACTCTATAAATTCTAAACCTTCCACCTTTGAAGAAGCTGTAACTTGTTCTGATTCCAAGTTTTGGAAAGAAGTTATGAATGAAGAAATGAAATCATTGATTGATTAAAAATGAAACCTGGATCTTAGTGAATAAACCTAAAAATCAAAAAGTTGTGGATTGTAAATGGATCTTCAAGA